GCCCCCGGCCCGGCCCTGGCCGGAGCCGCCTCGGCCGCCGCCCGCCTCGGCCTTGCGGCCTCGGCCCCCCGGCCCTCCGCCCCGGGCCGGCCCGCCCCGCCTCGGCCGCTGCCTGCGAGCCGCCGGGTCCCCGCTCCGGCCGCGCCAGCCGCGGACTCCCGCGCGGCCGCACTTAGCCCGCGCCGCCGCCGCAGCCACCGCCAACCGCAGTCGCCGCAACCGAGCGACAGCGCGGGACAACCTAGCTGGCTGGGAACGCAGCCCGCGACTGGCAGGCAGTGGGGCCAATGGGAGGGGCCGGCGGCCAAGCGCGCCCACCGCTGGGGCGGGAATAACGGCCTGGGCGGGGCGTCAGCGGGCGCGAAAGGGGCGGGGCGGGGCGAGGGCGGGGGGGCCCCGGGTTTGGTTGCGCCGACGTGGGAAGGGGGACGCGCAGCCGGGAGCCGGGGCGGGGCCGCCCGGGATTGTGGGAATGTGGCGGACTCAGCCGGCCAGGCTCGGCTCCGCTCGGCTCCGTTCGGCCCCGTTCGGCCCCGCTCGGCTCGGCCCGCTCGGTCCAGGCCGGGAAGGAGAGAGGTGCAAGCGGCCACTGCGCTCTCTGGGTCTCTAGGTGCCTGGGCCGCCGTCGCTGCCCCCGGGAATTGTCCTCACATTGCCTGACAGGAACCTTCTCTCATCCGTTAAAAAGCGTTAAGTGGGGGCTGGGCGCGGTGGCTGACGCCTGTAATCCTAGCACTTTGGGAGGCCGAGGTGGGTGGATCACCTGAGGTCAGGCGTTCAAGACCAGCCTGGCCATCATGGTGAAACCCCGTCTCTACTAAAAAATACAATAATTCGCTGGGCGTGGTGGTGCTCACCTGTAGTCCCAGCTACTCGGGAGGCTGAGGCAGAATTGCTTGAACCCAGGAGGCGGAGTCTGCAGTGAGCCGAGATGGCGCCATTGCACTCCAGCCTGGTGCCTGGCAACAGAGCGACACTCTGTCTCAAAAAAAAAAAGCGTTAGTGGGACACCTACTGTGTATCAGGCATTAATGGGACGCCTTCTACATACCGGGCACGGACTAGAGATTAATGGAGCGCCACTTGTGCAGCAGACAGGACCCAGGCATAAATGCAGCACCTGCTTTTACCGTACAGGGTACCAGCATTCATAGAGTGCCTACTGTATACAATGTATGAGCACCTGGGAGGGTCCCAGGTACCAATGTGAACAGCACAGGCTGGGGGCTGACCCCAGAGGGATCCGGGGCACCAGCATTCATGCAGTGCCTACTGTATGCCAGGTATGAACCGGGCATTAATGCAGTGCCTGCTATGTACTAGGCACGCAACAAGTATTAATGCAGCACCTGCTGTGTACCAGACAGGGCACAAGGATTAACAGAGTCCCTATTGTAAACCAGGCACCGACCAGGTATCAATACAGCACCTGCTGTATGTCATACAGGGCACAAGTAATAGTTGAGTGCCTACTGTATATGAGGTATGAGCCAGGCATTAATGCAGCACCTGCTGTGTACCACACAGGGCACAATCATTAGCAACAGAGTACCTATTGTAAGACAGGTATAAATCGGGCATTCCAGCACAGGCACAAGCATTAATGGAATGCCTACTGTATATACCAGGCACTGTTGTAAGCCTGTTAAACTAACTCTACTCAGGGGATTTTTTTTTTTTTTTTTTTTTTTTTTTGGAGGTCGAGTCTTGTTCTGTCAAGCTGGAGTGCAGGGCCGTGATATCTCGGCTCACTGCACCCTCCACCTTCCAGGTTCAAGTGATTCTCCTGCCTCAGCCTCCTGAGTAGCTGGGATTACAGGCATGTGCCACCACACCCTGCTAATTTGTGTATTTTGACTAGAGACAGGGTTTCGCCATGTTGGCCAGGCTGGTCTTGAGCTCCTGACCTCAGGTGATCCACTGCTTCAGCCTCCCAAAGTGCTGGGATTACAGGCGTGAGCCACTGCACCCAACCTAATTTTTTATATTTATAATAGAGACGGGGTTTCCCCATTTTGGCCAGGCTGGTCTCTTACTCCTGGCCTTAAGTGGTCCTCCCGCCTTGACCTCCCAAAGTGCTGGGATTACAGACGTGAGCCACCGCGCCTGGCCACGTCTTCATCCTTATTTTTTGCAGGTGAAATGGAAGTGGCCACCAGAATTTGTAAAAACAAGGGTGTTCTGACCACCTGGCTGACTACTGGAAACCCTTTTCTCTCTCTGGCCTCCTTGGCAACCCCCTGGGTATCCACCTCGTTTCAGTTCAAATGTCAGCTCCTCAGGGAGACTTCTCCTGACTCCTCAGACCAAGCCAGGTACTTCCTCCTCTTGAGCCACAACTTGAAATTGAAATTGTGTATTCTTGCCAGACATGGTGGCTCACCCCTGTAATCCCGGGACTTTGGGGAGACCCAGGCAGGTGCATCACTTGAGCCAGCAGTTCAAGACCAGCCTGAATAACATGGTGAAACCCCATCTCTACTAAAAATACAAAAAGTTAGCTGGGCATGGTAATACATGCCTGTAATCCCAGCTGCTAAGGAGGCTGAGGTGAGAGGATCACTTCAGCCCAGGATGTGGAGGCTGCAGTGAGCCAAGATCCAGCTACTGCACTCCAGCCTAAGAAATGAGATAGCCGGGCGCGGTGGCTCACGCCTATAATCCCAGCACTTTGGGAGGCCGAGGCAGGTGGATCACGAGGTCTAAGAGATCGAGACCATCCTGGTCATCACGGTGAAACCCCGTCTCTACTAAAACTACAAAAAATTAGCTGGGCATGGTGGCGCGTGCCTGTAATCCCAGCTACTCAGGAGGCTGAGGCAGGAGAATTGCCTGAACCCAGGAGGCGGAGGTTGCGGTGAGCCGAGATCGCGCCATTGCACTCCAGCCTGGGTAACAAGAGCAAAACTCCGTCTCAAAAAAAAAAAAGAGATGAGACCCTGTATCAAAAAAAAAAAGGGCTGAGCACAATGGCTCATGCCTCCAATCCCAGCACTTTGGGAAGCCGAGGTGGGCGGATCTCCTGAGGTCAAGAGTTC